CGGCTGCAGCAGCAGCAGCTCCTCCTCGTCCTCCTCGTCGTCCGGCTGTGCCGCGGGGGGCCTGGGGGCCTCGGGCTCTGGGCCCAGCTCCTCCAGCACCGAGCTTTCCGAAGGGTACTGGTACGTGGTCTCCAGGGCCGTCTCGCTGAAGGAGATCCTGAGCTGCGAGGGAGCGGGGAGAGTCGAGCTCAGCACCAGGCAGCCCAGGAAGCCGCAGGGCGCGCGGTGGACGGTGGTCTGGGGCCAGCAACCCTGTCCTGTGGCCGCCCCTCCCACTCTGTTCTGGGATCCAGCTTTGCTTTCCTTTTTTTTTCTTTTTTTTTTTGGTACCTGGAATCGAATTCAGGACTTCACGCTTGCAAGGCAGGCGGCGGCAGAACCACTCAGCTAAATCCCCCGCCGTCCAGCTTTGCTTTCCATGTAGCTTCCCACCCCTAGATTCCCTGTCTTACAGTCATCCGGAGCCCGTGTGGTGGCGCACCCGTTATCCCAGCACTCGGGAGGCTGAGGCAGGAGGGTCACCATGAGTTCGAGGCCAGCCTGGGCTGCATAGTGAGCTCAAGGCCAGCCAGCCTAAACCACATAGCAAGACTGTCTCAAAAAAACCAAACCAAACCAAATAAAAACTTTTGGGCACCGTGGGGCTTTCCAGGGGTGAGGAGGAACGCACTGTCTGGGGAGCGTATTCCTGGCCTCCCCTTGGACACCCACCTGTCCCTGTCCCTTGGCCTTCCTCCTACAGTGGGGTCAGTGCCACAGAGAGGGCTGAGGCCTGGCAAGGCCACACTGTCTGCCCTACTGCACAGAAGGAGCCCAGGGCCCTAAGGGTACCCCGGGGGCAGCAGGGAAGTGCAGGTACAGAGGGAGGGGAGGGGTGCGAGAGGCGAGAGGGACAGATAGGCAGAGGGGCCCAGGGCACACCCCTTCCCTGGCCTTGCCAGCTGCTCTCCCGTCCTGTGCTTCTCCTCTGCCCTCCAGGAGCTCAGGCAGGGCGGGATGGGATTAGCTCAGAGCCAGGGGATTAGGGACAAACAGGGGGACACGGAATGCTCCGCGGTGGGCCAGGCCACCCTGGCATCTGCTAGGAGTCGGGCCTGTGTGCTGCAGCCTGGCACAGGCTGGGCTGGGACTGGGAACAGCACTGCCAGGCTCCAAGGCTCCTCCTCCACCACACTGGCTATGCCACCCAGCCTCGATCTGGCTGCTCCTGCCTGGGCCACTCTTCCTCTAGAGACCCTGTCCTCCAGAGCACCTTGTTCGTTCGGACCCCACCTCTAACCCTCTGAGTTACACCAAACCCTGCTGATTTTCTCCCATAGTCATATGCCCACCTCTGGGAGGCTGAGTCAGGCGGATTGCAAGTTTGAGCCCAGCCTGGACAATTTAGTAAGCCTGGTTCAGAAGGGGCTCAGGATGTAGCTTAGTATGAAGGCCCCAGATTCAGTCCCCGGTACATACAAACACACACAAAACATGTGATATTGCATAAAAGCCCTCCTAGGTACTTTTTTTGTTTTGTTTTTTCGGTACCACGAATCAAACTCAGTGCCTTGTGCTTTCGAGGTAGGCATGGCACCACTGAGTTAAATCCCAGGCCCTTGTTTTGTGAGAGTCTCACTATGTAGCCCAGGATGGCCTCATACATCAAACTCTGGTGATCCTCCTGCTTCAGCCTCCTGAATGCTTGGATTCCAGGTATGTGCCACCACGCCTGGCTATTCTCATATACTTTTATTTATTTATTTTGGTTTTTTTGAGACAGGGTCTCACTATGTAGTTGAGACTGACCTGGAACTCACTATGCAGCCCAGGCTGGTCTCCAACTCACAGCAATCCTCCTGCCTCAGCCTCCCGAGTGCTGGATTACAGGCATGCGCCACCATGCCCAGCTCTCATATACTCTTAAATCAACTCTAAATTACTTACAATGCTTGACACAATGTAAATGCTATGTAAATGGTTGTTACTGTATTATTTAGGGGAAAATAACAAGAAGTCTGAACATGTTCAGTACAGCCATGACTTTTTTTAAAGAAAAAAATAGGGTTTTACTATGTAGTCCAGGCTAGCCTGGAACTTGCTAGTAGCTCAAGATGGCCTCAAACTTGCAATTTTCCTGCCTTGAGGTTGTGTAATTTTTTCCTGGAATATTTCTGGTTCACTCTTGGTTGACCCCACAAATAGGGAACTTTCAGATACAGAGGGCTGCACTTATTATACTCGTGCCTGCTTCGAATGGGGCTTAGAAGGTGCCACAGTTCATAAAGCAAGGGTCTGTGCACCAGGGGATGAAGTCCCCGCAGAGGAGCAGGCTGGGAGGCGGACCCCGTCCTTGTTTGTGGAAATGCTGGTGGGACCAAAGGACGGCAGCCAGGCTGTTTAAGCACAACTGTCCACAGTGGCCCTTTGGCTGTGACTGACACACTTCTGTCTTCTTTTGGAGTCTTCGTGCCCCCCCATAGCCTCTCCTCACCCCCACCCCATCTTCTGACTGAGCTTCTCAGGAATGCACGGCCTGCACAGGGACAGCGGTGACTCACTGATCCTCTCCCATCAGCTATATAAGGTCACAGGGCAGAGAGGGAGGGGAGCCAGTGACGCCCAGCCTGGGCTCCCTGGCAAGGCTGGGGTTTCCCTCTGATGGAAGGAACAGGAGTTATTTGGGAAGATGGGAGCGGGCGCGGATAGCAGGGCTCTCCTCTCAGGCCCAGTGGACCAGGACAGAGCCCTGTCAGGGCGCAGGGTACCCAAGTCCCGGTGAGCAGGGCAGGTGACATGGAGCACAGCGCTGGCTCTGGGAGCCCTGCGCCTCCGCCCCACCCCCACGGGCGGCTTCCTCACGCACTCACCACATCCTGAGCACAGTTCTGCCAGGCCCAAGGCCCAGTCCCCAGCAGCCTTCCGGCCCCACCCAGGCTTCCTGTGTGGGCGATCTGCTTCCGGCCCCTGCTTCTGACCCAGGTATGGCCACCTCGAGGGGCCTGCAAGCACAGCCTCCTGGCTTTTCCTCGGCTGGCCCCTGGGCCTCCATCTGCGGCCCCGGGCACAGCCTCTTCCCCCGAGCACTGCTGGCGGTGGCTTCCCATCTCGCCCTGGGAGTCTTCCTCTACCAGGCCCAGCCCCAGCCCCAGGGGCTTGCTGTGGGCTCCCCGGGTGGGAGCTGAAACTTCCCAAGGATGAACTGGGACTCTGGACCCACATCTTCAGTCCCTGCAATTCCACCTGACACCGAGGACACAGAACCAGATATGAGAACGTGGGCACACGGGAGAGGCGGAGCGGCCCACAGGCTGACTGCTGGGCAGGGAAGGGGCTGCCCGCACGTCCCGTTCAAGTCTGACCTCTGTCCCTCTGGTGCCTGCCGGCGCCGCCGCTCCCCGCTCCCAGCTCTGCAACTTCTATTTTCTACCCCAAGAGGGGAAAACCGATGGCTAGCAGGGTGGGGAAGCCCAGGGAGGAAGCCCAGGAAGCGGGCGGGGATTTGGGAAGAGAACTCTCTTCTTGTCCTGAGAGAAGGGAGCACTGGGTGCAGCCCAAGGTCACCCAGCCCAGCTCTCCGTGCGCCTCTCCCTCGGGCGGGTGGGTGTGCGGCCTGGGATTCAGGGGTTCAAAGCCTTCCCTGCCGTCTGCCGCTCCGCCCTGTGCCCTCCCTGTCTGCCCCGGGATGCCCTCTCTTAGCTCTGAGCTCCAGGCCTGTTCCGCAGAGCCCACAGCTCCTGCTCCAGCCTCCACTCTGCCCCTCCAAGGCTGCACTTCTCCCTTCACCGGCCCTCTGGGCTCCGAGCTGTCACCGAGCTGTCATCTCCTGCCAGATGGGACTGGGTGGATCCTGGGCTCCAGGACAGCAAGAACTGGACAGGGGAGCCCGAGGGCACGGAGAGCAGCCCGGCACACCCTGTAAATGACACACCCAGACACAGGCCTTGCAGGCAGGGTCCCGGCACCCAAAGGAAGGGTGTGTGTGCTGGGGAGGAAGGGAGGCGGCAGGGCAGGAGCTGAGACAGAAGGAAGACAAGAATACAGAGGTATAAAAAAGCAAGAAAAGCAGAGTCCAGAAAGAACAGGCAGGTGGGGCTCTAAGAAGTCTGGCTTGCTGCTCCCCTACCTGTTTATGGTGTCTCTCAGGGGACCCCTTGACAAGGCAGCTGCGGCTGAGACGGAGGTAGCCCCCCAGAACCAAGATCTCCTCAGCAGTGGGGTACCGCTTCTTCCCAGGCCCCAGCACTGCAGTGTTGCCTGGGGCCGGGGTGGCCGGAGTGGCGGGGCTTGCAGGGGGCGCAGAGCGGCGGGGGTTGACCGTGAAGGTGTGTTATGGTGTCTCTCAGGGGACCCCTTGACAAGGCAGCTGCGGCTGAGACGGAGGTAGCCCCCCAGAACCAAGATCTCCTCAGCAGTGGGGTACCGCTTCTTCCCAGGCCCCAGCACTGCAGTGTTGCCTGGGGCCGGGGTGGCCGGAGTGGCGGGGCTTGCAGGGGGCGCAGAGCGGCGGGGGTTGACCGTGAAGGTGTGTGGTGATGGCAGGGGGGAGGGCACAGAGCCGCGGTCCTGCTCCCCGGGGGCTCCCAGAGGCCTGCTCCCAGCCCCTGCAGTCTCGGCCTCTCCTTCCCCAGAGTCCGCAGCACGAGGCTCCAGTCGATGTTCAGGGCACCCCGGAGGGTCTGGTTTCAAATTCGGAGTCTCTGTGTCCCTGGCTGTCCATTCTCGAGCCTTGCCAGAGTTCAGCGTCCACTTCCAGCCTTCGGTGGACCTCAGGCCCCGCTCGCCCGCCTCCACTGGGCCAGGCCTCTGCTCCACCATCTCCACACCTCTGGAGATGTCCTGGGGTTCCCCACTTGGAGCTTCTGGGGGCCCTGCAATCTCCTCCGGAGCCACCAATGGGGCCGGGCTGTGTTCTTCCCTCCCATGTTCCTCCACACAGCCTTCTCTCTCTTCTGAGCTCAGCCTCCACTCTGCTGCCTCCACTGGTACTGAACGCTGCTCTGGAGGCTCTCTGGGCTCAAGCCTCCACTCGCGAGCCTCTGCTAGTGCAGACCCGCCCGGGCCCAGGCTGCTGTCCACCGCCTCTCTCCCCGGGGGACTCTGCTCTCCGGGATCCACTAGGCTGGGGCTCCGCTCCTTGGTGTCCTCTGGGCTCAGCCTCCACCTCCATGGCTCTGGCAGCCTGGTGCTCCGGTCTCCTTCCTCGCCCCGGCTCTGCCTCCAGTCTCTGGCCTCCACAGGCTTGGGGCTGTGCTCCTGGGCCGGCCCGGTCCCCAGCCTCCTTCCTCTGGCCTCCCTGGGGCTCAGCCGGTCTTCTCCGGCCTCCCTTCCCTTGGGGCTCTGGCCCCGGGCCTCCCCAGGGCTGGGTCTCCGTTCTCGGGCCTCTGCCGGCCCGGGTTTCCTCTCGGCGAGGAGCTCCTCATTCCGCTGCTGCTGGCGCTGCCGCTCCTGCCGGATGAATCGGTTCTGGTGCACCGGCCCGATGGCCTCCAGAAGCACGGCCGGCTCCTCGGGGTCCGCGGGCCCGGGCTCTGCGTTCCCAGGCCCCGG